TTGCAATATATTCCAAAAAATTAATAAAAATATTTTTTATTTTAATAATATATATAAAAATGGATACAAAATTAAATAGTAAATACTACATTAAATTAATAATTATATCATTTAAATTACTTCTTCTTCTTCTTCTTTGCAGCAAGAGCAGCAGCAGCACCACTAACACCACTTCCACTTCCAACACCACGTACTTGTTCAGGAGTTAATAAGGTTTTTTGTCCCTTTTTGTGAAGAACTGATTTTTGAGCTTCAACATCTGATGAACCTTGATGTCCAAATCCCATCAAATTACCTGAATGTTTCTTCTTTGTTTCCCATCTTGATTTAAATGTTTCACTTTGTTCATTTAACATACTATGAATTGGAAGTTTGTTTCTTCTCTTCTTTCTTTGTTTCTTCTTTTCTTCTCTATTCAATGCATCAGCTTGTCTATTACCACCACCCATTGTTGTTGATGATGATGTCTTGTTAGATGATGATGATGAATTAATAGATTGAATATCAATTTTACTAATAGAAAGTGTAGAAGTATTAGAAGAAGAAGTAATATTAGATGAAGAAGTAATATTTGAAATAATTGATGAAGTCTTTTCAATTTCATCAATATTCTTCTTAATGGATGTAGAAGATGTGAAGATTGTAAATCTTTACAATATTTCTCAGCAGAATCAATATCATAAAAAGACATGGCTTCAATTAAACCAGCAGTGTGAAGTGAAACATTTTTAGAATCTAATTTAATTAACATTTCAAAAGTAGATGCAGCTTGTTCATATTTTTTAAATTGTAATTGTAATTTAGCTAATTCATTTGCCATTTCAATTAAATCTTCCTTTTTAGATGAAGATGATAATTTTTTAATGACTTGTTGTAACATTTCCAATGCAGAATTCATATCATCAATTTTCATATAAAGTGCAATAATTAAACTTTGAATTGATTTTTCATTAATTAATTTAGATTCTTTTAATAATTCAATACATTCTTTATATTTACCTTGTTGTAAATATAATTGTACAAGTACTAATTCTATATTATTATTATTATTATTATTATTATTATAGTATTATTATTAGTATTACTAGTATTAGTATTATTATTATTATTGTTAATATTTTTAATATAATTTTTTAATAATTGAATAGATTGATCAAATTTCTTTTGTTTAAAATATAAATGTGATAAAATTAAAGTTGGAATTTCTGAATTATTATACTAAATAAATTAAATAATTCATTTTGAATAATTTTTTCACATTCATCAAATTTACCTAAATGTAATTGTAATAAACAATTATTTAAAGTAACACCTCTAATTTGTTCAGTTGTTAATTTACCTTGTAATTTATCTTGATAAGCATGTTTTAATTTCTTTTGAGCTTCCAAATCAAAATGTGTTGTATTACCATTATTAGAATTACTATTATTAGTAGTTACATCTAAAATAGCAACAAGATTATTAGCAGCAACTGCACCTGCAACTGTATCTTTAGATTGTGTAAAAACTTGTTCAAATAATTTTTTAGAAACATCAACTTGTCCATTTAAATATTTAACATAAGCTAATTGTACTAAAATGGAAGAAATTTCATTTGTATCTTCAATTTTACATAATTTTTGTGCAAATTCTAAATATTTCTCAGCTTGTTCATAATCTTTTAATCCAATAGAT